GGATCACAGTTAATGTGTCGATTATGTGTTCCTATGGTCTGTTGAGCACTTTCACTTACAGATAGGAACGGATGTCGCTGGTGTTGACGGGTAATCTGCTGATCTTGTCAAGTGTGGTGACCCTAGGACGACCGCTCCGAGGAAGATCATCTGTGGTCTGTGTAGCATTGTATGGATGCAGGAGACGGTAAATTGTGGTTATGTTAACGTTGAAATGACGGTCGACCTCTTTGACAAACTCTCCAGCTTCCAAACGTCCGATAGCCTGGTTCCTCTGAATTTGAGTAAGGCGTGGCATTGTTGACCAAGGAGTGGTAGGGCCAAGAATCGGCCACAGTTTTATGCCCACCACAGTTCGTGACAGTTCATGCATTTTCGATTTTGCGAGAAATGGGTGCATGATACCCACATATTCATTGAAATGGTGCGTTTTGGCAATTCGTTTTTTATATTGCGTTTTTACTCGGGGCTTCCAAAATGCAACCAAAAATATTGATAACACCATCAAGCTTCACTACATGCTAAAACTCGTATCAATTTATGGTTCCGTGTTTGTTACCTATTTGCTTAAAACCACTTGTGTTTCTTTTGCATGTGAGTATATATAAAAAGTAAGTATTCATTGCCTGATGCCGCACAACAGCACACCTGCCATGCGATAGTGACCTGTAAACAAACCAGACAATCAAGTGATCGATGGACCAGAAGATCCAGTGACAGTATGGTGTATTTACTGATATTGTTGAAACTATAAACAATGTTAATTTGGAATCAAAGATTCTCTAGCTTATAAGTACAGAAAAATGTTTCAGAAATAGATCCGAGTTGGCAACACCTTCCCAGCAGCTGCAATTCAGGACAATGCGCAGTCGTCGGAAAATCCGAGTTGAATGTCTGTGTCATTGTCCATATTTAAATCAATAAAAAACGGTGGAATACTTTCCTTCTGCAGACCATCATTTTGCCTGAATTCTACTTCTATGTTCAGGACATGTTTGCGCAGTTCTGCCACAGAGATGGTGTAACAGTAACAATATCCTCGTTCATGAGTCATTGCACATCCTTCAGCTGAAAAGATGTGTTTGTAATTGCTACATCTTTAGCTCACCAGGTCTGGGGGACCAAGGTGAGCATATGCCATACTGTGGCCGTGGTCCGTGTATGTCAACAATTTATTCAAACTACTTCTTCTTCTGAACCAAAAATTGGAAATTAACGTTATTTGACTGGAAGCATCCCCAGGTAGTGGGGATTCAAAATTTTACAAATGGTGAGGCTGACTCCCCTTGGAGGGTAAAAGGGGTAATTTGGTTATATTGCTTTAAGCGACTTCTTCTCTGGAACTAAGAGATAGATATCAACCATATTTGGTTGGAAGCATTCTCCGATGGTGAGGATTCAAAATTGTACAAATGGTGGGGCTGACCCCCCAAGGGGCTGAGGGCCATATCCAAATAGGGGTAATTTGGCTATATTGCTTGAAACTAGTTCTTCTCTGAGATAGATATCAACCATATTTGGTTGAAATCATCCCAAGGTGGACTCAGTTAAGATCACCACTGTAAAACCATATGTACAATTGCTGAGTTTAATGAGAGGAATGCACATATGCTACCAGGACTGGCCCTTCTATTCATCTGTCTGGCACTCACAAAGGAGTTAGAACCTTGACCACAACATGCAAAACAATCTTATTCCCACCCTATAATTAACAGATACATTGTATACATTTGTTTGTTATGAAGAGAATAATACATTTATGCCAATAGGGTTCCCCTGGGATCCAGCCTTGTCTCTGGAAACTTAGATCCTGGATCATAACATGGAAAAGGTTCGGATCGTTATGCTACATTTGTATCCAGAGAAATACACGTTCATGCTGTCAGATTTGCCATCCACCTATTTTAAATGCTGACAGGGTCAAAATTACGAAATATTTGCAGTATTATATATGTGTACAATGCTAATGTATATTTTGTCATGATTGCTTAAATATCCAGGTGAGCGATAGAAGCCCTATGGGCCTCTTGTTTTATATATTTCCCCAAATCAGTTTAGTTGGATTTAGATCAAAGTGGTATATGGTGGAAGACTGATCACCTCTTTTAACATGGTTTCAATTTGGTAGACTGGAGGTGTTTTTTTCACAAGATAGATCTAGTATAGAATGGATTTTGTTGCTTTCACTGAATGGTCAATATATTAGCTTTAAGCCATTTGACCATATAATCTTTTCTTGATGAAGATGTGGGACATTCTTTTGGGGATCTATGCAGCTATGATTAGGCACATTATCCATCACAATTACACATCTATTTGGCAAAGCTGGGTTCAGTTGTTCAGTCACATTTTCAATGAACACAGTTGAATTCATTTCAAAATAGTCGTCTCGTCCATGAGTAGATCGCGACCGAAAACCAGATTACACTCAGGTACAAATCCTAAAAGTGATCCATCATGTAACACAATGAATCTCTCTCCTGTTCCAAGGGGTATTTTCTGTGTGTATGTGGGATCTGGATGCTGCCATTGATAAGGGGATGTAGGATTTGCATTGACCCATGTTTCAAGCCATACAATTTCAAATACCTGTTCCCATTTCTGTCCAATTGCCCTTAGATTTTTGGTATATTTAGATATTCTCATTGCAAAAGTGTCACCCCTCTTACTAAGTGTTATATTTACATTGTTCAAACCTTTGTATTCTTAACCAAACTTTTGCTAATAGTGTGCCTAGACACAATAATTTCATATTGTTCTTTTAGGATTTCCTTAAGCTTTCTGGATGAAATGGGTACATTTGTTCCTGTGAAATATACGAATGACATCTCTCAACACTCGCGTGTAATAACTGTCTAGTTTTCCCTTCTTGGGTTTTGGGATGGCCCCCTTTGATTCCTCATCTGCAGGTTTAAAATGGTTATCAGGGGATATGGTTCAGAATAAAGTCCTTTTAGATATGGTAGTTGCATGAAATGTTCCCTTTGTGAAACAAGGAAGAGATATCAAAGTTCTTTCCCTTTTTGATTCACATTTTGAAAAACGATCCGCTTACAATTAAAATCCTTTTGACAACATATTTCCACATTACACAATATTTCTCGCCTATACCGATACTGCCGTCACAACTAGAGGTGTAGGGCGACCTAGGGTCATGCTTGCAGAAAGCATGTTTCACACACCTTATGTCATTGTTGTGAGATGTTAAATCGTCTGTTTGTATTTCCAACTACAGGCTCATGCCAATGTTCACACAATTACATGATAACAGTGAAGTAAATATTTTTATTCGGACATGAAAAATTACAAAACTGGTGTTTGTCCGATGAATGTGTGTTTAATGGAAAATAATTGTGAAGAACTGTGTGCCACAATGATACCTGATGGACTACAATTGGCGATTGTCCTGGATGGCAATAAGCAATTTTCCAGTTTTGCCATTTAGAGTTAAGACACGGGCTTGACAACATGTAAACAGATGATATATCTTATTTACTTTCTTCAGTTGTGATTTTAAGAAAATATCAAGTACATTCTCATCCAAGACTGTATCGCAGTTGTAGAGGTATTTATAGGATCGTGGTGTGACTTACAGGGTATATTCATCACGAATTGGTCACTTTGTGTGAGTGTGTTGCCAGCTTGAACCCTGATTATTTGGATGTTTACGATCTAGGTTCACATCTCAAACACTCAGATATGAACATTAACTGTGATCCTTTAATTTCCTTTTACAAGGATACTCTAATAATCTGTCACACAGTCCGGAATTTGGTATATATGATGTATTTAATTACTTGGTGTCGTTCAGGCCCGATTATAACAACAGAAAGCTTCGCGCCTTCAAGTCTTTTCAAGATTATCGCTTGTTTGCTGATGGACATGTCAACAGCGTGGAGTATGTATGTTGATGCCACCGACACCGTTGGTGTTTTTAAGGCATTTTACAGAGCCAACACAGCAGGACCAGACCTACTTAAAGTCTGACTTCTACAACCTATGGATTGCTGTTGACAAGCTGAATGTTGACATTAAGACTGGAGGGTGAGTCAACTGGTAATCTTGAACATTGAACTGGACTGAATAATGATGGTTAAAAATAAATATTTTGTCGGCCATCGAATGCATTGCATAATGATTAATACTTATGGTCAAGCAAAATTCCCCTTCAGTTTCAAAAGTGACAGAACCACTTGGGAACAATGTGCATATAAGTAGGTATGATTTTGCAGTAGATCCCTGCCAAAATTTATGTTTTTTATTTTATGTAAGTTTATACATAATACTGTAAAAGCAGTTATTGATACTGCTTATGCATGATGTTATATTTTACCTGTATGTTACAATATATTCAAACATTCCTTCTTCATAAGAAATAATTACATGCAGAAATTTTTATATTATTTCATAACTGATGGGGCTTGTAGGCACATAGCTGCAACCCTGTTTGATGTTGAAGCTTTCGAGAGAAAGAGTGTCACTGATGGCACATCCTTATGGATTAAACGACCAAGATGCCTTGATGAGCCTGTGCCTCTTGATCATCTATAAGTCAAGAAAATCAGGTACAAAGTAAAGAAGAAGAAGAAATGTAGGAACATATTGTAGATTCCTCTGTAACTAATAATGTATTCTTTCTGAAATATTGGTTTTGAATGAATGGCGAATCTCACTCGAGTGTCTTTTGATATGAAATATATCAGCAAGAGTTGATAGCGTCGGAGTAATTCCACTTTTATCGACTCGTGTTGCTATATTTGATATCAAAAGACACGAGGGTGAGATTTTATTTATCGCTCCACATCATTCTTCCAACTTTTTCAGTTTGTAGACAGTAATAAGCAGTGTCTTAAGTGAATAAAGTTTTGCTAACAGCTTCAGTAGCAGAGCCATTATTGTTGCAATTTCATTGCAGCGATGCCTATACAATGTAGATATCGTTTGCCAGTTTTGGATGATAAATCACAAACAACATTACATAAAGAGAGATATCTTTAATCAGCTGCTAAATAACCCATCTCATATGTGTTGCAGCTTTGGACAAACACTTGAAGCCATGAATGGTTACCTCTGCCAGGAAAATTTTGATCCTCGCCCAATAAATGACCGATCAGATCCATCACTGGAACAGATGGCTAATTTTGCAGCCTCCCTGAACCAGGTGGGAATCACCTATTCTATTTCAGTGTACAACATGTATCAGTAACTAATCAGTGATCATAGTGAACATTGACATGATCAATGTTAAGTATTCACATATAATGTTTTGGAAAAATAATTTATGTAGATTGTCTCACTTTCAAACATCATGAAATCTATGATCAGATACTGGTAAAATAACACACTCAGTATCAATATACATTCCCTTTTGGATAACATTTCTAATTTGTAATTCTGAAAAAATATGCATTTTTTTATGTTCATTACCCAGATGTATTTTATATTTTTTGCAGAGAACTTATGACAAACTTTCATAATTGCAGATAAATCCTAATGCCTGTGCCTTGGAAACCCTACTTAATCCAACTGACAGAGAGACTCAAGGGACAAAAATGAATGAGAAATGTGCTGCCATGTCCCTAATCAACAAACTAGAGGCCTTTGACTTGCCCCTGGACAGTGTTTTATCTAAGGATGTAGTTGATAAACTGAAGTATTGTAATGATGACATTAATTACATTGAACATGAAACTGCAGGGCAGAGTGAGAATCCTACATGGTCAGTTATGAGAAAAGGCATGGTAACAATTTGCAAGTTTAAATGTGTGTGCACTAGGGCAGACTCATTTGAAAAAACAGTAATATTGATTGTTCAAAGTTAGTTCAATGTTTGCTCCATGACAGTATTTATACTGGTTGCATTGAATATTGCAATGTACCATTTTCTCTTGTGTGGGATAGAAAAAAAGAAAGTAAGGCCAGAGAAATGTATATACAGATTGAGAGAAGGAGACATAAAAAACTGTCTGTGCAAATTTAAAGGTTTGTTGATTGATAAAGGACATCCTTTCCTTGGTACTTCAGTGGAAATTGCAAAGAAAATCATCATAATAAATAACTAGAGATTCTATGTCCATGGGCTTTGAAAGACTGTGATCCTAAAATTGCTGCAAAATGTAGGAGATGTTACCTGAAAGATGGTAATTGGTATCTTAAAGATGATAGTGATTATTATTACCAGATTCAGGGCCAGTTAGGTATATGGATTTCAGTCCTGTGATTTGGTAATATACACAAGATAAAGGTATATGTGCTATTAATGTGCCTTCTTGTGAACATTTCTTTGATTGTATTATTAGCAAAATCAATTTTTTTATTTTTTTTAAATTACTTTCTTCAATATTTCAGGCTATAAAAAAGTAAAACATGGTGCAGATTGATCCATGTGCTGCGTTTTCTAGTAATGTGAGAATTTGAAACACCAAATAAATCAGATAGCTGTTCCACATCATTAGCACGTCGTAGTCGCATGAGGGTGATGATGAGTTCCTCATACAGAGACAGAATTCTGGAAGGGCCTCTGCTGGATTTTTGCTGCAATGCAAAAACCTGAAATTGTACACAATGTACAAGTAAAAAAATTAAACATAATACTACGTCAGCACCATTTTCAGTCTACACTAACATTATAACAAACTATAAGGAAAATAACTGATTGATTGCCTGGTTAACCAGAGTGTGAGTATTCATTGGATGGTTTAGAACTGTTTGAACAATATAAATATCTTGCAGTATTAATAATATGTCTCAATATTCAGATAGATTCAGACAGATTTTTTACAGTGTTAGTGATCAATCGTTAATCATAATTTATTGATCACTGGAACATTACCATAATAAACTGAATATTTCTGATGCATACCCCTGAATGGAATGGTAAAGATCACATCATTTTATTTGTTATGTAACTGGGTACAAACTGACATGAACACTGATAATATAACTCACTCCATGGGCCATCTTGCTTTGTCTCCTGTGATAACAATATAAACCTGACATTTTTGGTTACAATGCCTCCCCAAAGACATACTAATGTAATACTTTGGGTATGTTAGATATGTTGGTATTTTATGATGTATATACATTCTGTCACAATAATATGTTATAAATGTACCTTTGTAAAACTTGCGGATTTGTTGTTTCTGATGATGTTATCCACAGTTAACTTTTTAATAACTGTTTTGAGGTTCTGCAGCGTCATCTGTGTATGTGCTGATGTTCTCAAAATACAAGCCAGTAACTGTGGAGGCGTCAGCTGTAGATTTGACAGTGTAGTAGGTGTCATTGGTCCAACAATGATCTTCTGACATCTGTTTAAAAAGATGAACATACTTGGACCTAAAAAATTATTTATAACCAAACATATACTGTCAGAAGCATGTAATTTACTGTTTTTTAAAGTTGAGACTTAAAATCAAGTCAGAATATCAGAATGAATTATTTAAAAAGTAACATGCCAGCTCTGTCTTTAAATTCATTTAAAAAAATATGTTCCCTGTTTTTGATTCCTCAAGAAGACAACTATTCATAATTATGTCACTCATTCAGTAAAAAATATACTAGGTTTTCGATATGCTTACATTTGGTAGTTGAGACATCACTCCCTTCAACTCTCTTCTTGCATGGGGTGTCAGAGGCCCCGGGATCTGCTTGCCTTTGACGAAGTGGTGGCCTGGATTTCAAAGGCGTGGAGTGCATAAGTGTACACAATGTCATCATTTCGGATATCGTGTTTCTGGGCTTTAGATCCTTGTCTGAGAAATTCCTTATATTAATCACTAACAATATTTATAATTTTAACATTTTGCTGGAGGAAAACATGACTTGCCTCAAATTCATAAAATACTCACCTACGAAGTGTTTTGAACAAATACGGATATGCCATGTGATGCTTTGGGCATAAATTCCCACTCGACCACGGGCCCTTGACCACCTCAAACAGTTTCGGAAAAGGAGTTAAATATACATTTTCAATGTCCTGGCGGCCCTTGCATCTGTGTTAAGGCATTTTCGGCTCCCCTTTCCGTTAACATCAGATAGTGGTCGGTATAGTTCTCAAGCATGTCAAAAGTTTGACAGCAGTTTGTTTGATGGTTTGCCCGTGGTCACATGGTTTTGCAAAGGGATGTCACTCTAACAGACTTATTTCGCAAAACTGGAGACTGGCTTATTGTCCTAGGTGGCAATTGTCCTGGATGGCAATTGTCTGGGTGGCAATTGTCCTAGATGGTGATTATCTGGGTGGCATTTGTCCTGGATGGCAATTGTCTGGGTGGCAGTTGTCTGGTCATCAATCGTCCTGGATGGCAATTGTCCGGGTAGCAATTATCCAAGGTGGCAATTGTCCTGTATGACAATTGTCTGGGTGGCAATTGTCCTGGATGGCAATTGTTTGGGTGGCAATTTTCCTGGATGGCAATTTTCCTGGTGGCAGCGTCTGGGTGGTAATTGTCCTGCTCTTTTCTTGGACTATGATGTACAGCATTCATGTAGATTGTGTTATAATGACTAGGAAATATACAAACTTGGTCATCATACACAAATATTTCATTGTAGGATGTGATCAAGTGTTTTCTATGCACAGATACGATGTTTAAACCAAATTGATCCAATTTTACAGAGGGTGGCTGCTTCTTTAAGCTCTACTGGATGGGTGATGGGGATATTAAAGATTCCTTTCAAGCAAGGGATGTACCGGTAAGTTATTCTTGACAGATTCATTTTTGGCACTATACCTATTTCTTATCGATTATCAGTTATCTCAAATCATCTAACATTAGCTAGACTTCATCATTCACACATGACAGAGGGAAAAACTGCAGATCAAAACATTCCTGGAATTTGGGAGGTGCCATTTTGGCTACTGATAGGAGACCCATGCATGTTCATAAACAGATATAATTCCTCTTTTCAATTTTGGCCCCTATATTCAATTGCTTTGGTTAGCCATCCATTGAATTGAGAGTGTCGCCTACTTGAGTTCCTCATATCTAATTGAGTTTATCTGTGCAGTGTGGCAGTGAATATTGCTTTTGCATATTGTAACTGTATTAATGATGAATGTAGCTGACAGAAATTTGTTGAGGTGTTCATAAAATGACAATTTCTTTTTGCCTATGGAGTTACTCCCATGATAATTCAAGTGGTGTTGTGTTGTAGTGGTGATCGCCCTAGATATTGAATTACCTCCCTTGTTCTGTTTATACTTAAAATTCCATCCGAGTGCTTGACATCTTTGTTACTCTCCATGGCCACTCTGAGGAGCTCCACAGTATTGTTACTTCCACAAACACGGCCATCTTCCAGTCGCTTCTCACTAGAGTACATTCTGGAACACCTACTGTGCCTATAAGAGCGAGCTGTGGAACATTTGAGGCCTCTTTAATATGACCTTCCTTGCGCCTATCTACTTATCAATTTTGGACAAGATGCATATTAGAAAACAACTTTTCTAACTGTTTCCATCACATCGATTACTCTATTCAAATTGGACCCCATACCTCATCGTAGATATTCACATGTGATAATTAATTGACATTCGTTTAGTGCACTGAGTTGTTAAATAGGGCCCGTAACTAGGGCTGACACATCATTTGATCATCGTACCATATATTTGACCCTTTGTAATGCCTTATATAATCGTAAGACTTATCCTGGGAAATTCAAGACTTTTCTGATTTCACAATCTAATTCTGTATGTACGATTACAATCGGACTGTAGCAGCTGTTAATTTGTTGGCAATTTTTTGGCAATTTGTTTTCACATAGAAAACAGCTATGAATCACTTCATATTCAGGTGATTGTTTTGACCTTGGTTAAGGTGAAGGTTAGATGGAGTTGAAACTCAAAATGATTGCAGTCTTGGAGTTGTTCTCTCTTTAAAGATTCCCCAAACAAGTCCATGTGCAGTCGGAATCAGTCACTCATTATCTCTCCCAGCCTAACCTGAGAAACCTAACTTCTGTAGTTTCACTGATAATATACCCTCGTTAATCTTAAACTAGAAACATAATTACTAATCTAATGTATATAACAATTTAGATTTTATAGTGCGAAAAAGCCCAAAATAACTGTGCTGTGATAACTGCAGTGGCAGATCCAAAGGGGTGTTATGGGGGTGGCCAGCCCACCTTTTTACATTTGATGACATTTGTATGTGCATTTCCTAGCATGATAACATGTTGATGTGGTTGTTAAAGTAAAATTATTGTTAATGGTTTACATGTAGTGTTTGTAATTTTGGGGGTAGGCTTTTGGCTGGGACCCATCCCTCACTGAGGTTACAAATAGCCTTAGAGGAACCCCGCCTTTTTTAAGACCCTTGAATTGGCCATGAACTATGTATCTGTTAACTAAAGCACACATGTACACAGGAAAGAAGTCAGGTTTTCCCGACGTGCACATGCTTTGAAGGGCTAGATACCATTATCTGCACAACTGATTATGGATAGTTGAAATGAAGAGGATGTCTGTTAAAAATCTGATTATGGGATTTATTGGCTATGGTATTCATAGGCATTATAGGATTTCTGTTTTAAAGTTGTCTTGCATTTAAGACATGTTTCCCAAAACAGAAAGTGATTTCATTTAGTTTGAAGTGCTTTTAACTTTGTTATTATGTAAGGACATGACCCCCTTTAGTAAGGTTGTGATATCTGGCATAATAGCCAAACTTGAAATTAAGACATGAGGTGTTATTTTGATGAAATGGTCGTGGAGGTGGAGGTACAAGGGGCTGGTGCAGGATCAATATCAGTGGAAGATGGTCATGCACCCAAAACATGGATCACTGGACCAATCATTACTATCCATTCTGTTACCAGGTGATTTTCTAATTGAAACGCAAAGCTTACCCATGCAGCTATCAGTTTGTAAAGAACTGATTTGTGAAAATAGTAAATCCCACACAACATCAATGAATAATTATGTAAAAATATGTTTGAAACACCAAGTCAATGCTCTCACGAATGCCTTGAAGTACCGTAAGTCACTGTCAAATGTCTTGTAAGAGGCATGTGCTCTTGAATCCTGAAAGTGTTGACAGGTGGCAGGAATTCAGTGTTTTCAGATAGATATTCTACCCACACTGGGCAAGTAGATAAGAAGATTAGGAGGTCATAAAAGGCCTCGAATTACTCTCATCTCACTCCTATACAGCCAGCCTTCAGGAAAATGTACATCACAAAACTTCTCTAATGTTGCAGTCTGTCCTGTTCATTGATACACAAGCTCCTTCCCAGTGTATGATAGCTTGGTATCCTCCCAATACAGTCAAGGGATCCTCCCAATACAGTAAAGGGAGCTCTGCAAGCGTGCAAACAAAGATACTCAAGCTTGTCCTAGCAATAGCCCATTTGTGGAGCTGGCTTATCTTATCGCTGCCACCAGTCAAAGCTCCCAACTGTGATATGTGACCACAACCATGCTTGGAGTTGAACTTGCAACCGACTGACCATTAGGCGACAATGTTTTTATTTCTTGGTTTACGGATTTCAAATTCATTTCAAAAGTAGGGTAGGCCAATTGAAAAGAAAAGAAAAAGCCTCTCAGATTTTTGTTACTTGACTTTTGTCCTAAAAGGTTAGGTAGGTATAAAAACAAAATATATTCTTGAGTAACAAAAGTAAATCAACTCAATCTTTCAAGAACATTTTATTATATCCCTGGCACTCAGCTTCTGCACAAATTGCAATATAACAATATTCATGTCATGGGTGGAAATGCATGAAAGACGCCTCTATTTTGGCAGCATGGGCGACAATTATATCTTTCAACACCAGCCAACCAGAAGATTTCTGCTGTAACTCCAAGTTCACAGAGACTCTTGTATGATAGACGAAGCCAACATTTATCAAGGAAATTATCTGCTTGTAAAATATCTTTGCTATCTACATGTTTGGCTGTACACCATTTGAAAGGTCTAATTAATCCTATTGTTTATAAATATGAAAGTTATGTGTAGCATATTATTTAAATAGTTCATTTACAACTTAATTAAGTTCTTTTTAAATTAAAATAATGTAACCCAGATTAAGGTCCATGGAACCAAAAATTTCACAATTGACGGAAAAAATAAGATTTCATAAAATCTACTTACCTATTTCTCTTTTATTTTCATTTTTCACGTAATCGGAAAATCATTTAAAAAGAGTTGCAAATAACATCTGTCATCACCCATTTCCCGATAATAGTGGCTGTCCTCTCACTAACATTGAGGAAATACCTCCGTTTTTGAAGCTTCGTATGAATAACACGTACGTCAAAGTCTGCCATGTCACTATCCATTAAAAAACTCATATTGTTTCACCGAGATAATGATAATACGGTTAACATCCACTGGAGTCTTTTCCTCCATGCGATTATATTGGATAAAAATTGGTTTCTAGTGACGCTTTCTTGCCGAAATCTGCTACAAGGTTCGTAATTGGTCTAATTTAAACATGTGACCTGAGGCAGCTAATCAAATTACAGCAATGGTACTGTACTTGTGTATAATAATTTTCAGATTTTGACGAAGGTTTTGGTTAAATCATGTTATTCTGAACGTTTTAAGCAGGAAATCATGACCTATATTAAAATATTAAAAATATGGAACTTGATTGATTTATAGTGCAAGGTTATGAGATGGGACAAAGATTTCTTATGCATATCATTTGACTTGCATTACATGCGATTGCACGAAAAGATGAAAATAATAACTTAGATGTCAGTTTGGCAACCTTAAGATATAGTTTTGTTGATGTTATTCATTACTTTGTATAATACATTTAAAGATTTGCTTGAAACGTCTTAATTTTGCTGTTTGATATGTTCGATGAGGCCCTGTTGTTGAAGTGTGTGTCTGAGAATTTTTTTCTTTAATAACATTGCGGAAAATAGTGAATAAGTTTTTATTCTAAATTGAAATGAAATATATATTTCAGACATTGCAAAATGTGAAAGATATATAAATGAATGATATGACAGATAAGTTAATAAAATTTTATACTATTTTGACATGACTTGGGCGGTCTACCTGCCTGCGGTGTCTTTTGTACCGGCCACAGGGCTGAAAGAGTTAAACTGGTCACCACTGCACTTTGCGCTGACAAGCTTTGATGGTATTAGAGAAGGATCCCAGCGAGAAATATTACAGTGACTTCCCTTTGCTTTACACTCGCAGAGGAAATGAAATCTTTTTTTTGTTTGAACTTTGTATTCATTTTTTTAAAGTAAAGATTGGCGGTTATGAAAAAAGGAATAATTTGTATTTGTATTTTTTTTCAACATTTGAACTTTGAAAGAGCGGTGCATTGGTAAACCAAGTAATTAAAAAAATGTTGCCTTATGTTTTCAAACAAGTGATGACTACCATGATGCTGGATATGTTACCCCATCTAAATTGTTCTTTGTTTGACAATTTGAAATTCTATTATATTTCAACTATCATGTAATTGGTATAGTAAGAATGTAAGTGGGAAGTTGCGGTAGATTCATTTGGGAAATCTAGTCAGTTGTAAACCTTTTCAAAATTCACTATGATTTTGCAAAGACATAAAAAAAATATAAATGCAGCTGCATTTGTGGTTAGAGGACAAATTTCAAGATTCTTGTAATGGTTGCTTTCACACTGATGGCAGCGATGTTACCAGGTGTGTACCAAAGGTGTCAGATGCTGAGAAGGAGCTTGAGTGATACTTAACCAAGGGAGATAACTCTAAATGAGACTTCCAGTGCAGGTAGGCCAGTTAATATTGTACATGGGCTTCATTTGCTGGCACTGACCATCACTTCAAATAAACCTACAAAAATATCTACTGCCAAGTAACATCACACCTCACAAAAACACCCTTTTGAACGCTTTGACTTTATGAAAAACACAGAAACAGCATAAACCTGTTCAAAGGTAAATGCAACCAATGTGTTGGAAACGACAAACAAATACATTCTTTCATACTGTTTTACTTGACACATATATTCAGGCTAAAATGTCTTGTTTTCCTATGTTACATGTTTATGCTAACTTAGTCAAAAAGAAGTGCTAAATATTATTAAAACTGAATTATACTAATATTGTTTTTGTGTTGTGTAGGAATGGCCTGAGTTTAAGTACGAGCTGGTAAACTTAATGTTCGGTCGGAACTACAGTGTCCAAGTGCATACGTTTGACAGATTTTATAAGGTCAACAGTAAGCCTGCCACAGTTCGCTTCCAAACCCTCAGCTGTCTTGACCATACAAACCATAGTTATACTATCTGCGGTAAGTATCCTCAGTAAACTTTCTTTCAACCTGAAATTTTGGGGAAGGAATTTTGTTAAGACATCAGAATGGAAAGAAAGTTAAGTTTTGTTCATCATTTTGAAGGAAATGAACTTTTTTTCAAATGTTCTACACAGAAGTTCCATGGCCAAGAAAGTTAAAACTGTTTGTGAAGGAGTGTAAAAATTGTGTTATTACAAGATTACATTATTTTCTGGTTTCTGGGATAGTTTGTAAAGGAACTTTATGCTGTTGATTTAGACTCTTGACATAAAGCAATCTGTTTACCGTAAATGTTGTTAAATAAATGGAGGGTACTGAGCCAAAGATTGTGTTGCTGAACACAGACTTTTACCATTTAATCCACTTTATTAGTATAATGAATAGGGGTGGGTGTAGGTCTCATATTAACTGTCATAATACTATTACAACAGTGAAAAAACAGTCATATTAACAGTTATATTGACACTATTGCAATGGTATTGTGATAGCATTATACATATCATACCTTTCTTTTATGATAATTCTTTTAGTAGGTTGCTAGGGTATTGTGTGACAGAGTAAAGCTAGGTTGCTCTATTTCCTGTTTGTGAGTTGGCTATCAATGATGAGCCTCTGTACATCATGGCTCTTTGTATCAGACTACCATACTTGTATATAGCTTTAAGAATTTAGATCAGGGTTAAACAATGATTACTTCACCAAGACTGAAGGTCCAAGTGAGCATATGTCTTGTGGGCAGTCTCTCCGTCTGTTCAACTGTTGTGTGCTGTCTATGCTACATTATACAACTATGCCCTTAAAAAATGTAGGTGATACTCGGAAATAACTTTAAATTCCCAAATCGTAAGAGAGATTAGTTTTTAGTAACATACTGAACCACAAAAGAAACATCACTTCATGAAAGTAATTCATGAAAGTTTCCCATTGAAATATCAATGCCTTTGTTTTAGGTATCTCACTTTTTACATTAATCTGTATCAAAATTTAATGTTAGCGGCCAAACGGTAACATAAATATGTGTATAGCTTTAAGAATAGCTTTTATAGCTTTATTTCAGTGATGAGGAAAGTTCACCTATCCAACTCCCTCAAGCTGTATGGTACAATATTGCTTTTCATTTTGTGTCTTGGGGTTTAGAGTTCCACTATCAGATTACAATGTCTTCATTTGAATTTAAACGAGACGAAACCTGTATGGTATATCCTGCTTAACACATGAAACACAGCTTTTGGAAAATACATTTTATGACTTTTTTAAGACCATGGGATGTAACTCCCAATGGAATTTTAGAGGTAGATGATATCACAACAAAAGCAACACTTTGTGTTAATAGAGTTTGATTTAAATAATTAAAGTTTTGTGTTTAAATGGATTGTTTTGTTATGATATTTGTGTAGGCTTGTGGTATAAAACCTAATGCGGGTCTCATAAAACCCCATGTACCCCTCGTGATCCTTATATTACTAACCTGTAAAGAGGATCTCAGTGATCAAACTTAAACAATGTGCACCTGATGGTTGTCTTCAATCAAGTGGCAGATAATTAAACTGGGAGTAATGTAGCTAGAGACATGTTAATGTGGTAGGAGGTTATAGTAGGCATGCATGTCGCCACAATGAGTTAATGGTTTCGCATTGGAAATGTGTGGTGCAAAGCAATGATCTTGCAAGTACTTGCAAGCACTTTTCTCATTGTTAAATATGTTTATCGCCTTTACTTTGTCATTATTGTTCAAAATGTAATTTAATTTGGTACATGCATAGAAATGTAGTGAAAACATGTTCTATCTTTAACACTATATTAAATTTTGATGATGTTTTGAGCATGCTCTTAAATTTTCTCAAAAAACAAATTTGGCTCTTTAATGACATTTTAAACTGTTGCCTACTTATTGAGGTGAGCTACATTGCCATGGCACTATTTTCATCTTTCATAGTATAAGATAGCCTGAATAAAAACATCGTCTTATTCTCATGCAATTGATTATATGATACAGAGCCTGATCCAGTCCGCAACCTCTCCACAACTATCGGCCACACATTCATGAACTCCAAAGGAAGATGTTTTGTTAATGTGACGTTGTCATGGTTGCAGCCTCTGTACGTGTCCAGTTATAATACTATCAATATGTTTGTGATCACATGGCACAAGAAACCACCCCTGCCTTACAGTGCACAGATTGAAGCTCACCACGGGGAGACAAGACTTTCAGGGGTAATGTATTTTCATTGCTTGATATGCCAAAGGGAAGCTACAGGCTCCCAAACAGGGTATGCCAGTGCTCATAAAGATAAACAGAAAATGAAAGTGAATTAAATGCCTTAAGGTATGCAGGAGCTTGTGGGCTATTAAAATACTAGTTATTATGACAGGTACCATTGCTTGGCTAAATGCAACTGCCACTGCCAAGCCCTGGTAGCATATTTGGCAGCTGCTACTTCCAAGCCCTGGTAGTATAATTGGCAACTGCTGCTGCCAAGCCCTGGTAGTATATTTGGCAATTACCACTGCCTGACCAAAAAAGCAACTTAAAGTAAAAAGCATATGTCACAATTTACTGATGCCAGCCCAAATGACAACTACCACTGGTGGGCCACAATATGTGGAAATAATGGTTACCAAACATAAGCAATACTTGTATTGTCCACTGAGAAGGTGACAGCTCTGAAAAGGTTCCTGCAAAAAAGTAGGTAACCATAAAACAAGTAACACCTAGAAAGTAAGTTGATTTGTTATTAGCACAGGTACCCCACAAGAGCCATGCGTAGGAGCAACTAAGTGTATCCCATACCAATGGCCATGCGAGATGCAGGGATAGCGTTCCCACCATGCTTGACTTGTATGGAAAATTTACCTTTAATGATGCTATTCCTAATTACTTTATAAACATTATCAGGGCATGTAATAGATTGTCAGTGAAGACACCCAGTCTTTTCTCCTGAGGTTGATGCCCTCCTAGGCATACTATGTCCTGTCTGATGCCATGATCACTATTGTTCCGCCAAGCTATTTTGTCAATTCTGTGATTAATGTTCTTCTGCATGCCTTCAATTTTGCTGGAACGCTAGCCTCGTGCCAGTAGTGCTCAGGAAGTATCTTGGACAAGATGATTCTGGAGTTGGGCAGATGGCGCTGTATCCTAAAGATTGACGCCACCATGTCAATTTACAGTTGGCTTCACTTGACTGCTCACAGATCATTGGAGCCAAGATGATGGTCATGGAGCTGCGCTGTGCTTCCTTGACCTGCACATAAAGGATTGGGTCGGGAGCAGTGTACCACATTCAGTGTAATTGTGGACATGCTTATATTGGCTCAACATCAAGGCCACTCAAAACCCAAATTAAAGAACATCAGAACTCAGTTTCCTTTATGAGACTTTTTCCCTGACAACCCGAGCCACAGCATCCAGTGCGACAAAATTAAATTAAATACTAATCTCAAAGACTTCGAGATAAGATAACTCCAAGAAGCAAATCTACTAATTCCCTATAAAGCGCCTGTAAAATATTACCCTAACAACTATGCATTTTACTACAAAGCAAACATGAAGCACTCATAAAAATAATATCTCTCACCCAGTACCGTATATGACCGCGTATAAGCCGAATTTTGAGAACCAGAAAAAAGATTCTGTAGAAAGGGGTCGGCTTGTCCACGGGATACACTTTCATGACAGTATTTTTCAGATTGTGATCTGTCAGAAACATCACCTGAATGACGGTCCGATAGATTACAACTTCCCGAAAGTTTGGATGTTGCCACGATTAGAGCCATTATTGTTATAAATTATCAATAAAGTTATTATTATACACCAATGTTGTCATTATTAAAAAAATGTTATGCATGTTACTACTTCCGATAATAAGTTTTCAATTGAATGTTCAAAGTTAATCGTTCTTCATAAACTCCACAATCTTTACATGTAACAATATATGTAATTCACAGCTATAATATATAATCCCCAGATGCAATCGCCAATAGCTATTACGTACGTTTTGCAAAGTTCATAAATTGATAGTTAACAAGTGTCTACCTTTATTGAAAGAGGCAAATATACAACAGTTTACTGTATCGGCGAGTTATTCCGTTCGCCATTTGCAAAAACATGTGATCAGCTGTTTCCTGTGACGTCACAAACGGTGACCACTGTGATTGCTTCCTGTTGTTTAAAAAGCAACACGGTACACAAGGAAATGAGCACTGATAATAACGGGCCGATTGGTATTGTCATGTTCAAGTTGTGGGTGCTTAGCGATCGTGTTGGGAGTAGGGGCTTAATTCCTTTGTTTTTGAGAGATTAGTTTAATAAACTGGAGAAGCCTGTGAGTAAGTGATGGTCATTTATGTGTTCATAGTATGATAGTTTGTTTAATTCAATTGGATTAACATACAATAATGGTGTAAAGGGGGTTATAAAAGTTGGTTTATTTTTACTGACTGACATTCTCATTATGAGTTTGAAATGAAAACGCCATGCTTACGATGCTGAATTCAAACTGCGAGTCTTCACTCTAGCTGATATATTTTCACACGGGTTCATAATTCTATATACACCGATTCACAAAATGGCGCTTCGTTGTTGATGGCAGTCCGACTTCACAGTGTTTTTTGCCTTTCAATTCCTGGTTCGGCTTATCTGCGGGTCATATCATTTTCTTTCGGTACATACTCTAGGCAGTCAATTCACTACAGTCCTGTCCTGTTGCTGGCAGACATTTGCATATGACGGAAACAGAATAATAAAAACTTCTTTTAACAGGAAGAAATAATTATTTCTAAATGTTACTAACATTAGGGTAATCCAAAATGATTGTAAAACTGATTGTAAATTTATCAACCCTCAACCCACAACACAAGGTGATGCACAGTCTATGATGCATTCTCAAGTTCAGTTATTGAACATCACTTCAGAACTGATCGTTTGTACTCTCCTAATTATGTCCTCTGCTTGCCATTTTGGATCGTCAAATCCTATGTGGAAATTATGATCGACTATCAAAACAATGTCCCCAATGGCTGGTTCTTTGTAGCCCACTTTGTAGTAGCCTGCTTTGACCTTGGCACTAGGGTTGGAACATATTCTCTGATGAATCTTCTGCAAAATGCTAATACGACTCACTGTGTAAACTCAAATCTCTGGTGAGACTTCTTGACTCAAGATCCCTGTGGTACCTCTGCTGTAGCTATTCCCATCATGATATGGTTTGGTGTCTGGGAATCATTTGTGGGATCTGCATACACTGTTGACATTTCATTCCTTGTCAAAGTTTGTTGTCCTATGGCAAACTCGCTTCGTCTGATTGATTAAGCTTTCATCGAATTCCTCCTTGATGGGGGCCTAGTGGTATATTGAATTTTCACTTTACATTGTGTAGCATACCAAATTCTTCTATGACTTTATGTCCATCCACCATCAATTTTTTAAACTCTCAATCTCAATATCTCAATATGTACTCCTGTAACTGTTGGGCATGCACTTTCACATGCCACCCTATATCAAGGAAACCTTTAAACCAAATTGTAATGAAGATATTCTCTATCATTTTTACTCATATGCATACCATTATTTCGAACATATATATATTCAACGTTTGCAAAGTTCTTCGTTCATTTTACTTGGAGACCGAATGAATACTCTTTTTTCTATTTCACAACTGTAAAGAAACAATAGATAACCATAGTTGAATGGCTTGACATCCATGTTACCGTAATATATATGCTTGGCAGCAATTCCCAACATTTTCATAATTTTGTCTCGGCGCATAAATGTTTCAGCAGCTTTTTCAAGTTCTTCTTTTATTGCCTTGTAATCGTTCATTGTTATGCACTTATGTGAACAATTATCTAAATAGAAATGTGCGTGCGTGTGCGTGCGCTAGTCAAGACTGATGCCGATTTATTGTGCTCGCCCACTGAGATACCATGCCGCAGTTTAACATGAATGAATACCACACTTCGAAAAAGTACACTCAGACTCCGAGCCGACCAGTCCTTGTTTTGACCCCTTAATGCCGAATGCCAGACAGGGTACCATCTTTTAACTTCATTTGGTATGATGCATCCGGGGATCGAACCACCGACCTTCAGCTCTCTGGGCGGACTCTCTAGGAGGTCAAGGCTGTGCAACTGATCCAGTTTGGTCTCTTAAGATATATAACATTAATTGATTTGTTATGAAAGAAGGTGAGCCTTTTTCCTATTATCTTATAGACGAGCCTTTCAGAGGGTTTGTGTGAGAATAGTTGCTTATGGTTAAAGTATTAAGTAACCATATGCAAAGGTAGTTACACCATCCTTATCAATCCATCTCTTGGTATCTAAGGGGGATAATGATGACTTGTTCATTCTCAATATCCGTTCATATATCCTGTGCTTGTCACTTCTTAAAGTATTCGGCTCATGTTTGAATGTTCTACTGTTAAATAATGCCTCTTAGTACTGTTCATGTTTTAGTTGATTTTTAATGAAACACTTCTTAACACCTTTAGCTTTTCTTATCTCATCATTGTCAGACATCTTTATAGTCTTCGGTCTTAATCCAACATACTCTGCAATAGGAGTTCCAGTACCTTCATCCTTCGTCTTTCCTAATACCTTTTTGTTTACTGTGGTGTGCAATGGGTTATCTTTTGGGTAATCGCTTGTATCATACATATCTATTTTTTCTGCCATATCTTTGTATACATCATCAGTTTGTATTTCCATTGACAAAGAATCTTTATCAGTATATAACACCTCACATCTATCACCATGTAGCTTCTTAAGTTCATTGAAATAAAATTCGCATATTACCGGTAAGTGTTTTAAGAAATCAAGAATACTCATACCAACATATACTGGTCTGTTGAATTTTATGTTACTCTTCCTCATGTAATGCCACTAAGTCATCATCAAATATCTTACTGCTGTTTAAAGCTAGACTAGCTATTAGTTTCCTAAGTCTTTCTTTCCTCATGAGATGTGACCAATTTAACATCATCAAGCTTCCTCAGATTCTTCATAGTTTTACCAAATACTGAGTTATTCATGAGCTTATGTAGGTTCTTTTCGGAATCTCTAGTAGCCATCTTTCTTAAATCTGTGTTCAGTCTTATATAGGACTCCATTAACAGCTTTGATCCAACTTTAAACTCTATGTATTTTCTTTACTTTCAAACATAATGATAGATACAGCTAGTGATTTCTGTAGTGGAATTTTGTCTGATGCATCA